CTATAAGAAGAACTTGATGTTTGTCTACGTACTCGTTTATGTGGATGACATATTGGTGACTGGAAGTGACCCTGGTCTTGTGCAACACATCATTGCATCTCTCTCCACTCGGTTCTCTATTAAAGATATGGGGAATTTGAGTTACTTCCTTGGCATTGAGACGATCAGAACACCGCAGGGACTCCACATGAAGCAAAGGAAATATATTACTGATCTCCTTGTGAAAGCTAATATGTTGCACACAAAGCCTGTTTCTACTCCTCTTGCTTCTCATCCCAAACTCACGCTACAGTCAGGTTCCCCACTCTCTGATCCCAAAAGAATCTCGCATGATTGTCGGAAGTGTTCAATACTTAGCTTTAACTCGTCCTGATGTGTCTTATGCTGTTAATAAGCTTTCACAGTTCATGCATTGCCCGACAACGGATCATTGGCAGGCTGCAAAACGTGTTCTTCGCTACCTTTCGGGCACTCTCAATCATGGGATCTATCTTCGCAAACAATCTACACCAACGCTTCACGCCTACTCTGATGCTGATTGGGCTGGTGACTCTGATGATTATGTGTCTACTAATGCTTACATTATCTTCCTCAGTTCTCAGCCTATTTCGTGGACAACCAAAAAGCAGAAAGGTGTTGCGCGTTCTTCGACGGAAGCTGAGTATCGCGCTGTAGCTAACACAGCATCAAAAATCAGATGGATTGCTTCCTTGCTAACAGAACTTGGCGTTCGAATCAACACAGTACCCACAGTCTACTGCGACAATATTGGAGCGACATATCTCTGCGCTAATCATGTTTTCCATACTCGTATGAAACACATTGCTCTTGACTATCACTTTGCACGCGGTCAGATACAAAACAGACTCCTCCAGGTAACTCATGTCTCTACGAGAGATCAACTGGCGGATGGTCTCACTAAACCCCTTACAACTGCTCCTTTCCAATCATCAAGGTCCAAGATTGGTGTTACTCCAGCACCACCATCTTGAGGGGGCATGATAAGTAAATAGATTATACTAAAGGACCTCTTTGTAAATACTAAGTACTATTAGTTACCCTACTTGTATTCTTGTATAAATACTTTTCACATACTAAATAATATATTCATTCAGCCTAACGTATAAACAATACCAATAGTTAACAAATGATTCTTACTAAACCTAATTTGTTTATAGTAAGTATCATTTTTATTATATTAATATATAAATATAATAAAACAATTTTCTTGAAAAAATTGAGAAACCATCGTAACCTTTGTAAAACCATTGAAACTTGACTTTTGTTTTTTTATGTTAAAAGACCGTTATTTGCAAAAACCAATTTTTCTACATTCTAAAAAACCATTTTTTTTCAAAATCTCTATTGGATCAATGCAAAAAGGTTCTTGGAAAAACAAAAACCAATCCAAAAACTACAAACTAGGGCTCGGTAAAAAATCTGAAATCAAAAAATCAAACCAAATCTGATCCAAAAAATAGTATCAAAATCGAACCGAAACTAATTAAATATCCGAACGGTTAATCATAAGTCGTCTGCTTCTGGAGTAAAGTAAATACCAAGACTTCTAGTAGAACATTTGAAAGCTGACCTGAAAATTCGGAGAAGATATAGTCGCCTTCGACATAGCGGTTATAGAACTGCAAAAATAGACGTGAAAAAAGAAGCGCGATGAGAACGACGGTGAAACGATGTTCTATGTTCTTCTTTAGATATAACTTACCAGCGGCAGAGTTCAACAAAACGCCTCTAAGAGAAACAGCGCTAGGGTTTACAGAAAAACGGCGCTAGGGTTTCCTCAAAGATCGGAAATAAAGGAAGCGGCGGTGAGAACGATGGTGATAACGACGATGGTAAGGCGGAGATAACGATGGATTAGAGAGATTCGACGGAAATTGCCTTTGAAATAACCTTTGAGAGAAATGACGTTAGTGTTTTCTAAATTTCGCGAAAAAGTGAGTAAAAAATATCGTATATATGTCCGGTAAAAAATCCGATTAGGTTTAAAAGTAATTTTGTAAAATCTAAGGTTCGGTCCGGTTTGGACGACTTATAATTAAGTCGTTTGTTGATACTATACACCTGACTAAGTCTCTGACTTAAATATATTTACCAGATGACTTAATATTAAGTCGTCCAGACCCTAAACCCTAAACTAAATTGACTAAATTAACTAACTAACTAACCACGTTATAAAATCAAATTATACTTAAATAGTGTTTACTATACACATAAATAAACACACTTAGAAACATTTATGCTTTCAAAAATCTAATCATAAGAAACACATACAATACTACAACATATGTTGGCAAACCCTAAACCAAAGAATATCACTACTTTCAATCATCTATGTTAAAAACAATTAAATTTTCTTCTATCTTAATTTATATCTCTTAAAACTGGTGTTAATTACATGATTTAAATTTTTCACTTATCTAAACATTTTTTACAAAAATTTTAAATTATTTTAAAGAATAACTATACTAGGCGACTTTCATCTACGTCGTCCAGACGACTTAGTTGAAAGTCATCTGGATTAAATAGTTACGGGGGTTAGAAAAGTAAAAAAAATTGGATTTTTTGTTTGTTCACAAGGGGTTGTTGTAATTTTAATAGGTTTTTAGGTTACTTTTGAATTTGATTCATGTTTGGGTTTACTTTTGCATTTGAAACCAAGTTTTGAGTCATATTTGGAAATTTTTCCAATTTACTCTCATAAATTATTTATAAATTTTAACTAATTTATAAAAAAAGTTATAAAGGTTTATAAACTCAATTCCACCCATTAAATACCAAATTCTAGTTAAACAATAATAATTAAACCATAAATTATAATATTAAAGTACTTTTGATTGAATATAAAAATTTCTCTCAGATAGCCTATTTTAATTTCTTTTCCTAAAAAGAATGATTAAAAGATATTTTATTAAATGGTAAATATAGATTTATACCAATAGATTTAACTAATCTAAATTTATGGTTTAGAGTTAAGGGACAGAGTTTTGGGATAGAATTTAAATAAATATAAAAATTTCAAAATAAAAATTTGAAAATAGCTTTGAAAAACATTTTGAATTTCAAAGGAAAAAAAAATCTAGTTATAAAAAGTTTGAATATGAAAGCATAAAAATCGAAACTAGAAAAAATATATTTGTATTATTTATGTATACTTATATAATTATAAATCAATTAGTAGTACTGTCTTTTGCTACTTGAAAAATATTTTTGGTCATTTTCTCTTTTAAACTCTTTTGGTGACAAAAATCTTTAAAACAAGAGAAATTAGGCCACATATACATGAAAAAACTCATAATTAACTAACTACATTCTACACTGTTGATAATTTTAAAACCCAAGATTACCCCTGTCCAAACTATCACTTTCCTTCTCTCTCTTTCTCCCTCTTTCTCTCTCTCGTGAATTTGTTCAAAATCCATTGCCCAAATAATAATATTTTTTCCTTTTTCTTTCACTCTTCTTTCTATTCCATTGTCTCTTTATCATCCTTTCCACCATTAAATATCAGATATATCTGCATATAATAGAGAGTTTGGTAAGGTTACACTATTATTAAGAAGATACATGTTTGTTATTAGATTTCTGTTAACCGGTAAAATGATCTATTAGATGCTACAAATAAGTCTTCTGAACATATAGGTAGTTAGTTGTTAAAACTTTTCATTAAATTATTTTGTTATAAAAGGATGTAACTCTCTGTTACATGTTTCTAATAGCTGATACATGTTTGGTTAGATGTTACAAAATATATTATCGTTTTTTAACATAGATAATAAGATGCAAAAATAATCATCAATAGTTCATATTTGATAGTATGAGGTTTAGTAGATGCTACCAAAAAGGTTACATTGCTAACTATTATAAAACATGTTGACGCTTGTTAAATTTTTGGGTAAGATGATTCACAAATAGCTTTCATTAGCTAATACATATTTTGTTAAATGCTACAAAAACTGTTAGCGGACTAAGTAAATCAGTATCTAATTTATTTCTATATATTTGACGATTAATTATTTTTGTATTATATGTAAAACCAAAAAAATACATTTAACCTATGTTTTACATGGTAAATAACATATTACATGGAGGTTGTTGGTTTTGGTATATGAGAAGTATTTATTTCTAATAAACACGTTATCCGCTAACAATTTATATAACATTTAACATTAAAACTTAGTGCAAAACTTCTTTTGCTACAAAATAATTTTGTTTTATACGATACATAGTTGTTAGTTGTTATCATAATAGGTTACTATGATAGCTTAATCATAGCGTGTACACGTTTGATTAGTTGTTATCTTACTTGTTAGACTCCAAAGAACAGATTGTCATAATTAATTTACCTAACACTCAGACAAAGGAATAGCTGGGGCCTGGAGCTGCAGAGCTGAAGAAGTGGCACAGAGAAGGAAATAGATCTGGTGGGTCGGGAGAAACATGAGGGTTGGAAGGATAAGAAGATGAACACACGATTCATAGATTTGTGAGAAACACGAAGGAGGAGGAGGAGGTTTTAGAGGAGTAGGAAGGAGTACTGGTGGAAAAGGACCCAACACAAGCAAAACCATGAAAGAAAGGAAGAGAAGAGATAAAAAAAAAAAAAAATTTGTTGAAGATCCTACCGACAATTTGGGGAAGAAAGATAAATGACAGAGATGTGAGCTTGGGCAAGGAAGAGAAACCAAAAAGAAATTAGGGCAGGGGTAAAACAAGAAAGGGGGACACAATTAGCTACAGTAAAAATGGGTTTTTAATGATTTCGGGTACTTTCTTAATTTTCCAGAGGTTTTGGTATATTTAGCCAATTGACACTTAAAACAACTATTTGAGTGAATTGGCCATTGAAAATTGGTAGCCGTGTTTCAATCAAATTTTCTTATTAATTTTTGTTTTATGTTTTTATATCAGAGAATAACATCAATAAATTTGTGAAACAGAATAACGAATTGAACCAGATTAAATTGATCAGTAAATAAATCTAAAGAATAGCTCTTGACAAAGTCTTATCTACTCTAAGGGAATGTGATTAACTAATATAGAGAAAACACGATCAACAGTCTTTGCTTTGTCCGGGGAGCCGTGGCCATCACCGTACTGATACATACATTGCGACATGCGTGCCAGGTTTATTGCAGCTTCCACAAAACCCCGAGGAAGTAACGATGAGTCTTGTGAAATCATCTCGTAGTTCATCTCATCCCATGTGTTGCTGATCATCTCCTGCACGTACGCACGTGACTTTTCTTCTGAAGCTCCCGTCTCATTCATGTAACACTGGACCGATTTGAGAACGTCACCTCTTCTCATTTCATCCTACATCAATAGACAAACCTTTCTTTCTTTTTTTTTTTTGGAAAAGGGCATATAGACAAACCTTTCTCATATTTTCAATATGTAGTTGATATAACTCTTTTTTTGTTTTCATATTTTCCTATATATTGCTAAAATATTTACCTCTCATTTAGTATCATTTAGTTTTAGGATAGAACTAGATAAGCAGATAGTAGATTATCATGATTTAACTTGTCTGATAGGTAGGATATGAATTGCTCACGTTATTATCAATTATTTCTGCGTTAGAAAAGTTGTGAACTTTCAGGCTCATTATGTTTTAAATAATAGTTTGCAATCAGTTATAAAGTAGAGGAACAATTAGTTTACCAGTGAAGTTCCAAGGTCGTTAGCTAGGCGTAATACGATGGCAGAGCACCGAACGACATGTTGTTGGTGTCGGGACAAAGTCTCCAGGACCTGACTAGAGATTTGATCGGAAAAGACGCAGTAAAAGTGGGCTAGTGAAGTAGGGGCTGAGCTTGAAATCCAAGCATTTTGCATGTACTCTTCAAAACTTGATTTGTGTTTACTTTTATGCCCCTTTGCTTCAACTAGAAATGATTTACATAGATCTCCCCACTTTTTATGATGATCAAAAGAAATATCAATTAGAATTTGCATTATAAGAGCCGATGCTTAATTAAGATGATTATAAACCGATGCGTTACAAGAACTGATAATTATATAAAAACCATATATATATACTTACCGAATTTTTTAGGAAAGGGATCACATTAATATTTTTATCTTTAAGAATATCACGTCCAATGCTATTTGTTTCATTGTATAATACAAGATAACACAGCTTCATATACTCGGGAAGGTCATCAACCCGATTTACATCCCAACTGTAATTACACAGATCACAAACGCATATACATATAGATAGATAACCCATACGATGTGCATTATATATTTCATTTTAAAATTCTGTCGTTTAATAATTTGTACAATAAACCAATAGAAGAAATGACTACTTACTTTTCAACCATGGCAGTGAATTGTTGAAGTTCATCAAGAGTGCCATAGACATCGTAGATGTCATCGATGATTATAATAAGTGAATTTATTTTAGTCATTATTCGTCGAACGTATCCAAATTGAGGCTCTTGGATTTGTCCAACAGTCCAAAAATAATTTTCTACTATTCTGTCTCTTGCAAAGTGAAGTTGATTACTCAAGCCCGTGTCCCTCCACCAGCTTCAATCAACAGATAAACAGTGAAGAAAAGAAATAATATACCACCTATATTATTTTTTTGTTAATAAATATATTGTTTATTTTGCTAATATTACCTTGAGAGGTATTTGAGTTCTTCTTGATGAACAGCTTGTACGATATTAAAGTCGATCTTGGCGAATTCAATCAAGACATCATGTTTAGTGTACGCATCTATGTATCGTCTTGTTTCTAGCCTTTTCATTCTCCAATGGTACGGCATCTTTAGTGCTTCGACGGCCATCTCAAGGGCATCTATATTGTAAATATGATGATCATGACTATCAATGATTTTTTTAAGTTGCTGGTTTGCATAAGCCCTAATGACTTTATGCAATTTAGTATCCAACTTTGTCGCGAGATACGAGGCTTCGTATACAGAGATGAGACCTTTTATATCACCACTATCGAACGTACCATCTTCTATTTTGTTGATGAACACATCAAATATGCCTGAAATAAACGTAGAATCACTTTATTAACATGCAAGTAATTTAAAACATATGAATTAGAAATTCACTATATTTTTTTTTTTAATAACTCGGCCGGCGGACCGAGACCCAACCGACTAATCTCCTGGAGTTCTACCACCAGCGCCAGACAGACCTGGTTGCTCGAAATGAAAATTAGATATCCATGTCGCTTGGTCACACACAAGCGGATAAATCTGAATTTGGTAGGTTTCGCACCCGAAGTGCTTAACAACCTAACAGTCCAAGTCCGCGCACCACATGTTTGCGTGGTTAATTCAGTATTTAATAAATAATGATTATTGTACTGACCTTCTGAGACATTGAAGCCATGTTCTCTAAGGAGTCGAAATTCGAGTGCGGTGGTATATAAATCTTCATTGCCACGATCTATTACATTATTATGATAGAAGCCCGCTAAAATGTCATCGATCTCACGCTCAAAATGATATGAGACCCCAAGCTTCTGTAATTTGTCGACTAGCACAAGTTTCCCAAGGTGAGTCGTCGTGTCATCAAGTATCTTCCTCACCTTTCCTCTTAGAAAATCTCTCTGTCTCACACTGTTTTCCCGCTGCTTGAATCATATTACTATGTTAGAAAATTAGATCGAAATAAAGATTTCGCAGAGATATACGTACCACATATATATTCTTGAGTGAAAGAAGGAATTCGTGGTCCCAATGAGAAGGCTGATAGTTTGCTGAGCCTCGAAGAGTGTCAGCAGTAGCAGTAATTGATGTCCATGCCAAACGCCGAGGACTTTGAGAAGTGGTTAAAAGAGGATTATGATAAATATGAGTTGAAACAATACATAACGTAGCCATTGAGTTATATATTATCGTGGCTGATAATTTGATGAAAACACTTACTCCAGCTTATATAGGTAGGGCTGGACTTCACGTATGGTAAACATTCGATGGTGGTGTTTGGTAGATGTTAGAGCAACTTTGTTAACGGATTTTCAATTTGAGCATCTCACAATAATAAAATAAATAATATTTAAATTAATATTGTTTCAAATATTAAGATACTCATCCCAAAATGTTTTATTTGTGTGATACTCAAATGTGAAAACATTCATTTTGCCCCCTCACTGAAAGGACTATGTAAGTCCTGCAATTATTCCCAAAACTAAAGTTTAGCTTATGCTTCTGCACAAAGGAAAAGATAGCTACCCTTACTGCAACTAGTGTTACAACGGACAATCGGTTTCAATCCTACGTCACTGGGGGTGGTTTAAAACTGGCTATGACTTCTAATCAATTAGGAATCACTTTGTGATTAAAAATTGTGTCTAAGCTATAGGCTCGTGCAAACCAAGTAACGTAACATCTGCCTCCTAGAAATGTTGAGAAAGTCATGTTAGGAGATATGTCTTTAATCGAAGTCAAGTTACTATGTCCTCTCATTAGTCCTAGGAATCTCGGTAATCCTCCTTTACGCGACCACAGCAAAAATTGTACTCTTAATCCTGCAAGAAGATAAGGAAAGAAGAGGTCTGGGTTATTTAGATTACCCTGTGAGACACTTCTAGATCGGTCTCCCTGGATAAGAGCATCCACAATGGTGGATTCCATTGTGGAATCCTTAGAGAATATTTTAGTATTTTTTATTGAATAGTTAAAGACACTTAGCAAAATAAACAGTCGGTGGATTCCTTCTAGTAGTCCTTAGAAAAAAAAAGTTTTTTTATTAAACATAAAAAAATTTACAATTTTATTAATTGCATTGACTGGTTTAATAACATATATTTAAACAATGCAAAATTATATATTTGTTTGCAAATGCAGCAAAACTCGACTTTAAAAGATTATGAATTTGACATGTATAAGAGATCAAGTTTGGAGTGTATAAATTTAGTCATGATCGAGTTTGGATTTAGTAGACAACAATCTGAAGACTTAGGTTTAAAAAAAAAATATTAAGATGAAGACATATGTTTAAAAACAACTTGAAACAATAGAGCAACAAGAAAACAACAACAACTACTTAGACGGATATTACAAGAGTACATGAATCAAGAGACCAACATGGAACACTCTTTGCTCAGTATTTCAGAACACTTTTTGCTTTCCGGACATACACACATCAATGGAGAAGTTTTCCCATCTCCAACCACATTGAACACAAATAAGTATCCTATGTCGCATCTGTTATCAAGACATAACTTTCTCCAGCCTCTTCTGATGTAATACATGCCGCCTGATTTGCTAAATCGCAAACTCACAGTCCATGAATTTCCCTCTTTGTTCACTAGTATCATCTCTTGGCATTGTTTGTTCAAAGCAGTAGAACGCGTAGCTGCCACACGAAGATGCTGCAAACACAGAACATATCACAAGTTTATCTTCTTTTAGATTTGAAATAGAGACACAAAACGTAAACTACTCACAAGTTTGTCTTCTTTTAAATTTGAAGCAGTGGCCTCATCCAAAAAACAGTAGTCGAATGAGAAAGAAGACATTGCCCATGTTACTCTTGAAACATAAGAAACAATTTTCCACGTCAAAAACATCTCACAAGTTTGCTATGCTATTACAGTGAACTTTGATTGAAACTTACTATCTTGTGGTGATGCTCATTGTCATCAGACTCACCCGCAGCATCATCCGTAGCATCATCCATAGCAACATCCGCGTCGGCTTCTTCCTTGATGATGTGAGGATGTGTATACTGAATCTCACAACATCTAAGACGAAAAAGAGTGACATGAAACACCATGTCTCCTTCGTGTTTGAACATGACAAGATCTCCGATTCGAAGGTCATGTGTTGTGTTGAAATCTTTCCAACCTCCGATGAGTCTCATGCTTTCTTGTATCACTTCCCAGTGTTATATGAAGCGTCTGATCTTAGTTTCCATGTTTTCTGGTTCGTCTTCCCTTCTATGTGCTTTGAGAAGAAGCCAAGTGGTATTGTCTGCAAGTTAGAAAAGGAAAAGTTAAGCAAAACTCAAAATTAGGAACATATACAGAGGAGAAATAGAGAGAGTATGTCTACCACGCCACTGTGGAAACCAGGAAGCAGAGGCTTGAAGAAATGAGGTTCCTGCGGATTCGCCATCTGCAAATAAGAAACGAATGTAAGACTCCAGTATGTTACAAAACACATATACATATTAAAGAACTGAACACAATTAAAGTAGCTTCCTGACTCTGATCACATATAAACAATATCAGAGGCAAACATTCTATAACCGTACACAAATATAAAATACAACTTGAGTGTGTACAGAACAATCCTAGAACAATGTCAGTATAGAACAATCTCAGAGCACAACAGTTACAACAATTATAGAGATCAACATAATAGAGATCAAAAATCACAGAATACAGCAGTTAGAACAATCGACAAGGCTAAGCTCACATGGATAACATAGCTATAAAGGATAACACAATGCTACAGAGGATCAAACATAGCTACAAAGGATAACACAATGCTACAGAGGATTATACAACAATCGTTTTGAAACCTTAAGGACTAACGACAAGATCCCAAACTCGATTGAAAAACAGAAGATCGTTTTAGAACCCTAACTACTTTAGAGAAATCCCCAAATCGAATGAAAAACAAAAATCCTTCCCTGATATGCTAGGAAAACAACATGCATCCTCATCAAAACCCATTAATCAACAAGAGAAGGCAGAGATTTACGTTGATTATCAGATTCAATCGATGTCAAGAGAGATCACCAATTCGCTAGACCAATTTTTTTTTCTTGTGATATCTCCAAACTGATAGTTTTTTCTTTCAACCCGCACCCCATGCGTTCCTCGGCCCAATGGCTAGACGCCACGTCGATACAGACTCGATCCAGTAATCATTTTTTAAATATTTTCTCACACGTGTTAACATATGTTAACGAGCTAAGGATTCGTTGTGAGACGCTGTTGCGGCTGCTCTAAGTCACTATATAATAAAAAATGTAGTATTTTTTTTTTGTTCAAAAAAACGTAGTATTAAAATCGTGAAAAGTGCTTATAATCTCAAGCGTTGTGTGGCTCTTATGTCCTTAGCCTCTAAGCGTATGTGTGATCTTCGTGCTATTGCATGTCCTATCATGTCGTCCAATGTTTCCCACCAAAACATGGTCCCCAGTCCATAAGTCGCATAAAAAACATATGCTCATTTTAAGTTTTTGGTCAGAATTAAGCTCAAATAAAATATCTTTTAATAAAGGGAAGTTAACTCAACTAGTATGAATTTTATTAATTATTATCACAACCATACAAAACTTTTTTTTATTACTACCTTTTTTTTAATACCCAGCGTGTCCTTTTTTCACGTTGTGAGAAAAAACATATTTACAAGAATGCCATTACTTTTTTATGCCACGTAAGCAAAAATTTCGGGTCCACGTAAGAATGCGGCATAAAACTCAGCCGCAATAGGATACGAACTACGTTACGGCCCAGATATAGGTGCGTAGCGGCTGACTTAACTAACCTAGCTGACTTATGAGAAATAAGCTGA